AAATCTATGTATACTATGTGCCATGGTTCAGAGGACAGTCCAGCTCTCTTCAAGGTGAGGGGATCTCATCAAGTTGCCAAGCCAACTAAATATTGTTAAGCCACACAAATACCCACATAAACTATTCAACATACTTAACACCATATACATTTAGAATGACATTTAGACATCATTTGAACAAATAACTCAAATAAATTAGCAAGTAATATATTGACAAATTGATAAATCAAAATTATTAGTAACTACTAATTTTCCGCTTCAATTTCATTCAAGCCATATTTTATTTCATTTCAGTTGTTTTACCTCTCCATCTAGATTTTCTTCTTCTTTGTCTGCATTTCTGAATGGTCATCAAGAATATTATTTTTCATGCTACAATCAACAGAAAAAAGAACATGTGAAAACTACCTGGGCCAAATTTGAAGAAAGCACTTGTTGGAGATCGTCAATTTCCTTTTGAAGCCATTCATCACGAGCAGCTTTACTTGAAAACTGGGTCGCACGACCTTGTTTCTGATAAAGGATGCTAAGCTGCTTTTCACGCTCCATGATCCTACATATTCACACTACAAATCAGGAAGCCTAATACAAGGGCCTATGAAATTCATATACTTTGGGTACAAAAACATGATTGTAAAAGTTACAGGTTATCCATAAAAGTTACAAGTTCTTGAATTGGCTAAATCGTTGAAACTGAATCAGCTTTAATTCACTTTTGGACCAACCAAAATAATCGTAGTATTTAAATCCATCAACAATTTTCAGGATTTCATACACCTAATGTGCTATTTTGCTTCCTTTCTTTGAAATAAAAAAATAAACAAATACCTACTCAGATAAAATATTAGTTATATTCTTTAAAACTATAATTAAATCTTTCCCTTTCATTATAACACTTCTGTTTAAATTGGTTATTTTATTTTAAACTAAATTCATCAGAAACCAACTTTATGAAATTCTATTCCCCCAATATGGTCAAATCTAATAATTTTTCAAACCTTTTTGGTTTGATTGATTTTTTTCCAAATAGCAAACACCCCTTACATATGGCATTATAATACCAAGGTTCAACAAAAGAACATGTAAATTGAGATAGCAAAAACTAAATAATGGATCCTCAAATAAACAATCTCACTGGTCAGTGAGGTCACTAGCAATAACATTTAGTGTTAATCTTGAGCAACCCCAGCATTACTTGCAACTATTATACTAGGAGCATTTGTCAGCATGAGGGATTAAGCATGTCAGGCAATGATGACATGTCCTTTATGAGCATTATAAATATAGAAGAATGTAGTCATACCCTCTAGTTATTTCTTCTTCCTTCTTGACTTGGCTCTCATATGCAGGCTTAATTTTTTCAAGCTCCTCCATAGAGTTTTGAATTTCCTGCTGTAGCATATGCGACTGGTTCACTGCATCATCCTGAAAGCATTAAAATAAAAACAAAACCATTCAGCACCCCTGCCCATTTAAAAACTCAGATATGAAGGAAATTGCAAACATAATACTTTAGCTTGCATGTTCCCGGAAATTTTCTCTTGTAGGTCTTTAACATCAAGCTCAAGTGCTGTATGCTTCTTCATAGCTTCAGCTAGTTGCTTCTCTACAGCTTCTTTATCTTTGTTTAAGCTTTGCAGTTCTTTGGTTAGATCTTTTATCTTCTGGTCCAGGTCCTTGGACTTTTCACGGTCATCCAGCACACGGTTATACATCCTAGTTGATTCCTCAGAAACCTGAGCTCGAGTAACTTCTATCTGGAACCAAGGAGAGAGGTAGTACAAGTAGATTTTAAAGAAATCAGTATAGATCCAGGAAACAGTATGCATGTTTCCATTGTAACCCAGGGATATAAAGTGACTGCAAAGAATCATTCTTAAGTTTTGACAAGAATCCTATCTATGCAGTTTTTTTTTTCCCCCATTTTGAAAAAGTGGTATTATAGATACCCAAAGAGTATTTCTCACATTATAACACTGAGAAATTCACATGAATCAAATTTTCAACTGCATACGTAATGAATGGTTGGTCATAGTTACACCTGAAAGTAATACTAACCTCATCCAATTTCTGTCGAGCATCTTGAAGCTCCTTATCATAAATTGTGTATTCTAATGACTTTCTCTGCTTGTCAAGCTGCTGATATTTTCTAAGTTCCTCCTTTTCTTCATCCAGTTCCTTCAATCTATCATCCAAGTACTGAACAACTTGAATTATCTGCTTCCTTTTATTAGCTGACAAAGAGAAACGAAATGTTAAAGAACAGACAAATTATTCAGAGACTGAAATTCAGCCACTAGGAGAGAGCAAGAGGACAAAGAAGATATCGAAACAAGACTTGCCAGTTTCTTGCATGATTTTCAAACTTTCACGGCGTCTTTCCTCATAAACTCGAGTACCTCCAATTTCCTTCAGCAAGTCCAGCCGCTCAGAATCTTTCATCAATGTCAAAGATGCTATCTATAGATCAGCAAGTTTTTTGTTTATATAAAATAGTTAGAAAAAGAAAACACAATCTGCTGAAAACTTCAACCAGATCCATATAACAAAAAAAGATAAAACTAAAAAGAAGCCTCACACCTTGCCTTGCTGCACAACATAGTAAGGATTAGACCGGGAGAACCCAGCACTTTCCAGTAAATTCATTACTTCTGTTTTCCTGCAAGTTACCATTGCCATGTAAGTAAAATTTAAGTACAAGAAAGGCCATATGACCCAAATGACATAACCAGAAACATTATGCTGTTCATAAAGTTACTCAAAGAAGTAGAAGAATCTTACGTAATATGTTTTCCATCCAAAAAATACTCATCCTTTTTCAAGCCAATGGTCCGTCGGAGGCGCACTTCCTCCTTGTCAACCTGTCCAGAAAAAAAAAAAGAAAGAAGAAGCATGCTTATCAAATAAACAAACAAGAGAGTTTATCTTGCACAAACAAAAAGGAAAACAGGGATGAAAGGGATTTATATATGTTTGATGAAAAAAATAATATAGATTTTAAGAAACAAAGCAAATTTTTCTTACCATGTAAGATAGTTAATTTCATGTAATCCGCTTGGATATTAAAACTTTAAAAGATTAAGGTTCAAACAGAACATAAAATAAAATTAACTATTAAAAGCAGAAAAAAGGCTTCCTATGCCCCCCATCGTCCCCCCAAAAGAAGAGTGATAGTGAAGAAACATTACCGGGATGCGATTGTCAGAATTATCAAAAACAATCTCCACAAATGCAGATAAAACCTGGTGCCCTGCACCTTCCTGTTCAATTGCAACAGAATAAACGTTAGAGGAATGAAAGAATCACTAACACGTAGTTTAAATTTTAAAAATGAATCAAAGCCTAGCAAAGCATACATGAAGCAGCGCGTGCCTATCTTCACTGCGCAGGTTCTGGAAGAGATCGCTCAGAACAAAACGAATCGCTACAAGCTCAACAAGCAAGTTTCAGTATCATTTGGTTCAAAACAAGACTAATAGATGGAAAAACTAAAACAATCATTATTTATCAAACTATAAATTCACTTACCATGGAAAAAGTTTGACTTTCCTGATCCATTGGCACCAACTGCAAAAGTAATATTTGAATATAGATAAAGTTGTTCAGATATTAAAGTTCCTCATTGTAACAGTAAATGGTCTCAAAGTGCTATCTTGACGTAACACAGACAGCATGAAAGAAAACACTGAAAGGCTTAATAAAAATGAACTCTATTGGTAACACAAGGTAACAACCAAAAGCAATGTCTAACAACTGCATCAAAATTAAATAAAAAAGGTGACGATCTTAAAAGCATCCGATGGCAACTAAATAATCTCTAAGCTTTAATCAGAACATGAATTTATAATTAAGTAAATTTTCAGATGCATTTTTATGATAAATAAATAAATAAATGGCATTATTTCAATTAAATCCAAAAGACTGGTGAAGTGAAGGCCATATTAAATTCTGATGGAAATTTACAATCAACATTAATTGTTTACCAATATCAAATAATTTAACTTTTTTATTTAAAATCAAAATCAATAATAAAATCAGTGAGGTTCTTCCAACTAAACCCAAAGGATTGGTGACCAGACAAAATTCTGTGAGAAATTTCTAATCAATTACAGTGTGTCACCATTATCAGAAAATTTAATTAAAAACCAATTATCACTCTTTCTATTTAACGCACATGAATAAAAATTTTAAAATATATATATATATATAGCAATATACAGTTTCAATTGCCTTTGACAAGAGGAAAAAGAGAGAGAGAGAGAGAGAAACAGGTCACACAAAAGTCCAAGGAGAAAAAAAATGTTACCAACACAATTAACTTTAGGACTGAATTCGTCGGTAGTAATTTGTTCTTTGTAGCTCTTGAATCCCTCAATTACAACCTGAATCAACACCGTATATTGATGAATAGTTATTAAGCAAGCAAACCAAATATAATCAAATGACTCCAACAGAGAATGATGATCACCTTCTTTATGTACATGGTGAAAAGAAACTAGGAAACCGACCAGCTTCTGCAAAACAATTATGAAGAAGAGAAAAGGTTATTGCAAATAAAAAGGCATTTCGAAGTCAGAAATTCGTAAACAACCGAACACAACACCGAGTTAAACAAAATAGCAAACTAACAGTGCTGAGCTAAAGGGAAAACCGAACTCAAAGAACAAAACCCTAGCTGAATAACACAAAAACCAGTAAATGAAGCCAAAATAAGTAGAATTAGCTACTTCCCCGTTCGCTCTAGGGTTCGTAGCGAGTGATGAAAGTAAGAATTTGCTTTAGCATTGAAATCTGAAGTTCGACTGAATCACAGTAGACTAGACTGAATCACAGTAGATTATGAGAAATTAACACCGTAAACTTACCAATTCCTGCCGGAGGCACAGTTCATGCGCGGCGGAGAGAGGATTGAAAAACACAAAAAAAAAAAAAAAAAAAAA